GAAACTTGATTTTCTGTTTTCTTTTTTTTTTCAAATTACCACAGGGTACGTGTGCTCACCAGAGAGAGAGAAAGAGAGAGAGAGAAAGCACCCCCCAGTGGAGCATGGTCAGGCCACAGTACCTTCTCCGCCATCTCTCCACCCTGCTGGTATTAGGGGCCTGCATGTACACCCAGTGTGTTTATGCAGCCACCAGCACTGCATTCAAACCACAGTCAGTCATGTGGGATCCGCTTCCCTTAACCACCAGGCTACCAGGCTGGCCCTAGTTCCCCCTTTTTAAGTGCATTCATTTTCTTTTTTCTCTTTCTCTCTTCTGTAAAACCCAGCCACTTTAATGTTTTTGTACCATTTAATAAATAATCTTTTGATGACTCCAGACATGTCAGACCCCTAGTATTCAGAAGTGTCACAGTCTTGGTGTTTTTCCAGACTGGTGTATCATCTTCAAAAATTATAAGGAGTGGGACCAGCAGTTAGCATAATGGCTATGTTGCTGGACTCCCACGTGGTCGACCGTGGTTCGAGTCCTGGACCTGGTGGCTTAGACTCACGCCGGGCGCATGTGCGTGTGTGCCCAAGATCCCAAGAGGAGAATGGAGGAGAAGGGATTGCGGTGTGGCCATCCCCCTGGGGTGGTAATTCCTCACTTTCTTTCTCTCTGTCTCTGTCTGTCTGGCGAGCACACGTGCCCTATAGCAAAAACCTCTCTGAAAAAAGAAAAAAAAAATTATAAGGAGTTACTTGTCATTGCAACTGCTATCAACCCAGTAAGACAGCATTTATGCATCCATCATTTTCAGGATTGTTGGTAACTTGGGCATATTTCCCCCAAATAACCTTGCCTCCTTGTGTCACAAGGCCCCGCTCACTCACGTTCACCTCAATGCCAGCACCTTTGGTGATAACACCCAAAGTTGTATATAGTGGGGATGAGGGATTCTTCTTTACCCCGAGTGTTGGCAGGCAAAAAAGGTGGCTTTCAGTTCAGGATGTGTTACGTGGGCCTTCTGGAAACGTAAGCCCGTTGGCCTAATGAATCCTTCATGTGTAGGTGGTTTTGTAGTAAAGCCATCTCCAACAAAGCAAACTTTTTTAACCATCGTCTTCCATGCCTCCTTCTTTCTCTTTCCTGTTCAAATAACTTTTAATACTTCAGTTTCTCCCTGGGCTCAAACTTTAGGGAGGGACTTCCCATTTTCCCACTTTCTCTTCACATTTTTGTTGAAACATACCGGAAAGTAGCTCGGGACTGTCCTTCTCTGTCCAGCAGATAGGCAGGTGCTGCTCCTTGTGGAGTCTTTTCAGCATTCTTCTGTTCGGTGTTCCTCTTTTCATGCATCGTGGTAGTCTTTTTCCTTTGTATTTTCTCAGTCTGGCGCTGTTTATGATGGAGCTTAGCCTTCTTTAAATGTTCATGAGCTTCTTGACTTTCCTTCTTTCTCTGGTTTGTTTTTTTTTTTTTTTTTTTTTTTTTTTTTTTTTAGTAATCCTAACGGTTTCCATGGCGTTTACTGCGTAACTCAATATGTTCGTTCTGTGGCATGGTGACCTCGGTAGTCACCAGGCACAGCTTCCCAGGCACAAAGAAGTTGTCCAAATGCATTCGTGGTCAGTGGCCAGGTCCTGTTTATTTCCTTGAGTAATGAAGACTCATGAGGTGGTGATCCTGGTCAGAGCCTGCACTTGGAGTGGAGAACACTATGACCAGAAGAATCTTTTAGTCCACTCCCAGCCGTTGTGTAGACAGACCGCCTGGTCCCTGAGACTAGGTCTCTTGTCTCTCTTGGTCTGGGCTGCTGAGACTCACCTAGTCTGTGCTCGTCCCTCACATCCGGACCCAGACATGGCTCATGGGTCATGGCACTCTTCCCTGAGCAGGTCTCGGGATTCTTCTCAGCACAGCTGTCCAGGCTACTCCCGTGGTCTGAGTCACGGAAGTGAACCTCGTGCTAGGAGGAGGCGGCCTCAGAGAGGCACGCACGGCCTGTCCGTGGGACAGAGGGGCTAGTGAGAGCACCTTGCGGACAAATAAGGATTGGTTTTCACAGAACCCAAACGTAGGGCTGCAGGAGCCTCCACATGGTTGCATCCTCTCTGAGTTCGTATCCTGGTTTTTTCTCAGCTCCAGGAACTTCTAGAGGAGCTGCTACCTTCACTAGGCTGAACGTTGCCAAGAACAGGGTTTGTCCCCAAACTCGGGATGAAGCACTGGGGAGGGGAAGCAGCCCCAGAACAGGCATGAAAGTGACATCAGGGACCAGAGAGAGCGGAAAAACCCGTCTGTACCCCACTGTTGGGCAGAGAGCTCCGGGGCCACGCACACCCAGGGCTGTTAAAGCATGCAGGAAGCAGTGAGGGGCTGCTGATGGTTGGGCCTTCTTAGCTCTGTGGCTGGGGACATGCGACTCAGAACTGCTGTCCCCGAGAGGCTGGCATGACATAGAGATGAAATCAGGCTGTATAGCCCACACTGCCTGCAGCCACAGTCACTCGGTGACGGCAAAGCACGGCGGTTAAGACCAGGCTCCTGTTCGAACGGCTGCGTGTCCTCGAAGTCTTATGCTGACACTTACTCGCCAACACGGCAGTATCCAGAAACGGGGATTTAGGCGGTGGTTACTCACCTTATAAAAGGGCCGGAGGGAGCCAGTGTTCAGCCCTTTCTGCCCTTCCATTCTCGCCACCCCGTGAGGACACAACACTGAAGGCACCCTTTGGAAGCAGAGGCTGGCCCTCGCCTGTCACCAAACCTGCCAGCACTTGGACCTTGGCATGCCTGGCCTCCGGAACTGTGACAGAGTTCTGTTCTCCACAGACTACCCCGTCTCTGGTATGTTAGTACGGCAGCAAGGGTGGGCTAAGATGAACCACGGGCGTCAGGAAGTGATTCCAGCTCTCCCACTACCCAGCTGTGAGGCTGCGGGCCTGCCCCTCTCCTCTCTGAACCTCAGTTTCCTCAACTGAAAACTGGGCCTCATCGCAACACAGACTTCACCCGGCTGTTGGGAGACTGGAATAAAACGACACTCTGGGCTCAGTATCCAGAGGTGTGGTATTTGCTCTCAGGGGGAATGGAGCCATGGCGGGTGACCCCAAAACTTCTTAGAGCCAGGATGGGGATGTTCACCACTCAGAATAGGAAAATCAAAGCCCGACATCTGTTTCCTGATGGGGCTATTTGAGGCATTGGGTCTTTTGGTAAAAACCAGAGAAAAATGCCGATGAGTCAGCAGCACAGTGGCTGAGTTCCTCCCCTGGGCCAGCCTTTATGCAACCCTTGGCTGCATCCTGCCTCCTCTGGGTCTCCTCCTCCAGGAAGGCCTCCTGGTTATCTTAGTCTCAGACAGTGCCCCCCTCAATCAAACTTGCAGCCTTTCCAGCTCTATCCCTTTGATGGCAACATCCTTGGAACCTTCAGGGGCATTCACGTTCCACTGCTTTGGTTTCTCCTGTCTCTACTTCCCTCCTACCAACCCCAGGGACACCACTGCCTGCTGAGGAGACAATGACTATTGAAAATCATCCCCAAGCAGAGCTATTACATAAGGAGAAACTAGGTTAGATCATAGGCAGGACTTCCTGTCTCTGGGTTGGGAGCCAGCCAAGGCATATGCCGGTTCTCATCTCCCAGGGAGATTCAAGCCCCAGGCCTGTGGTCTGGATCAGCCAAGGCCTGTGTGCACCACTTCTGGCTAGTGGGGCTTTCGTTCGATGGAGAAGTGGTTACTAGACCTGCATCAGCCGCCAGTGCTCAGAGGCCACAGATTCTGGGCCTCTGGCCCCTAGCCCTGCCCCGGAGCCCGCAAGGCCAGCCAGGCTGCTGCTCAGCTTTCAGGGGGAAGGTGGAACTCCCTCCCCACCTCCCCCTGCAGACCACGGGGCAGTTACTTACCACCCTGGAGCATCAGCAGGAGCAGGGGGGCGGCCCAGCCACACAGCATGCTGATCCACAGCCTAAGAGAGACCACAGCAGGAGGTGAGCCCAGCTGGGGGCCCAGGGCCAAGCAGCCTCCCTTTTGTCCATCCTGTCCTGGGCCAAGTTGCCTCAGACTCTTGGATTTGTCTCAAGGACACAGTGACCTTCGATGCCTTGGGCAGAGGAATAATCCGCCAGACCAGCAACACCAAGCTCTTCCTACACCTTCCTGCTGTACCCCCAGCTCTGCATCTGTTGGGGGAGCTGCCAGCCAGAGGCCAGCGGGTGCACCCGCTCAGGCTCAGGAACCCCACCCAGGCCAGTCCCGTGGACGAGGTGTAGCTGGAACTAGAGCCCAGAGGCATGAGCCATGCAGGAGCCCAGGCACACACATGACTCTTTCTAGACCCCATCTCTGACCTCCGCCCCAGCTGGAGTACCCCCAGATCCTATCACGGCCTTGTCAATAGCTCTCTTTGACCTCTCTAATGAAGTCCCCCCAAAAGCAGTGCAGGAGGCTGTGGGTCAGAGAGGTTCAGATTACCAGCCGCGTGGCTTTGGGCCAGTTCTTCCCCATCTCTGATCCATGTAAAGGGGAGACATTAAAACCAGGGCCCCTGTGGAGTGGGGGCTGCCAGGCCAGTGTTTCTTAAAGTGGGTTTCGTAAAGCTCTTAAAGAACTCTCAAAGAGTTCTTGTGAGAGTTCAAGGAGGTGATTTTCGGAAACCCTGGACGTGGGCCCTGCGAGGGTTTGGATATGGTTTGTCTCCCAAGGGGTGATGTGCTGGAAGCTTGGTCCCAGTGGTACGGGGTTGAAGTGGGAGGACCTGCAGGAGTTGGGGCCTAGTGGTCAGTGTGTGGATCACAGGGGAAGTGCCCTCATGAGTGGGTTAATGCTGTCTCACAAGAGTTCTTGTCCTGAGGGAAAGGAAGGAGCAGGTGGTTATGAAAGTAAGACAGCCACTTGCTGGCCGCCTTCTCTCGCACGGGCCCACTGCCCTTTCCAGTTCTTTCCACCATGTTGTGACGCAACAGAGGCTGGCTGGGTACTGACTGCAAGCCTTCAGGTTTCCCAGCGACCTGAACTGTGAGCCAAATAAATGCTCCTCTGTTCTTTACAAATCACCCAGTCTTGGGTATTTGTTCAGCAACACGAGGACGAGCTAAAACAGCCTCTGACACATAAGCACTCATACAGCTGTCACTGATATAAAACTGGGATCAGCAGATGACATAATGGTTACATTGCTGGACTCCCACATAGTCAACTTCGGTTCAAATCCCGGACCCGGTGGCTTAAAACTCACACTGGGTACATGTGTGTGCATGCCCCAAATTCTGACGGGAAAATGGCGGAGAAGGGATTGCAGGGTGGACATCCTCCCTGGTGATTTCTCGCTTTCTGTCTCTCTGGTGAGTACACGTGCCCTAGAGCAAAAATCTCTCAAAGGAAAGAAAAATAAAGAACATCAGTAATAGATCCTAGAATGATCTAACCAAGAGGTTTCAAAATTTCCAAAAAGTCAGCCATATGCATACGCTGTGCATGATACTATTTATTTAGTATATTCTCTTCTGGGACTGGCAGGTGGTTTGGTAGTTGAGGCACTGGACTCCCACATGGCTGACTGCAGTTCAAGTCCCAGACTTGGTGGCTTGCTTTCTCACTTTCCCTCTCTCTTGCTGTCTCTCTCTGATCGAATTGAAAAATAATAATAAATAAAATAAATTTTTAAAGAATTATTTATTTTATTTTATTTGTTATTATTATTATTATTATTATTTAAATTTGACCAGAGAGAGAGAAAGGAAAAGTGAGAAAGCAAGCCACCAGGTCCAGATTCGAACCGTGGATGGCTACCACCTTAACTGCTGCACCACCTGCTGGCCCCAAAATAATTCTTTTAAAAATAATATCATCTATTAGGGAGTGCACTTAACATTTTTAAGAACTATTAATTTAGGGAACCAGTAGTTAGCATAATGGCTATGTCGCTGGACTCCCATGTAGTCGACCGCGATTCGCGTCCCGGACCCGGTGGCTTAAAACTCACGCCGGGTGCGTGTGCGTGCGTGGCAAGATCCCGAGAGGAGAATGGAGGAGAAGGGATTGCGGCGTGACCATCCCCTCTGGGGGGTGATTTCTGGC